ATTTCAGTTGAACTGCCCACTATACACATTCTGATGGGCCCTTACTGGGCAGTTTTACTGAAAACCAGGGTAAAGCTTACAGGAAAACTGGGGCACAGGAGGGCCATCTTTTATTCACTCACAGAGCAGCCATGGGCAAGCTGCTGCACTTGAGTGGGTTTCTGTCTCCTCATCTGTAAACTGAGAGTGTCGACAATACCCATCTCATGGCGGGGAACTGAGTTAATACATATTAAACTCACTAGAATAATGCTTAGAACATGGTAAGCACTGTGTCTGAATTTGCTATTACAGTACAGAAGGTCCCCAACTTAACAACAGTTTGACTAACTGTTTCTTGACTTTACGATGGTGTGAAAGTGGTATGCATTCACTAGAAAATGTACTTGGGATTTTGAATTGTGATCTTTTCCCAGGCTAGTGATACTTTTTTTTGTTTATGAAGGTAAACAACCAATATACTTATAACATTCTGGGGAAAAAAAAAAAAAACATTCCATACCCAGACAACCATTCTGTTTTCCACTTTCAGGAGAGTATTCAATAAATTACATGAGATATTCAACACTTAACACACTTTGTGTCAGATGACTTTGCCTGACTGTAGGCTAATAATGCATGTGTCCTGGGGAGGTTTAAGGTATGCTCAGCAGAACTATGATGTTTGGGAGGTGATGTGTATGGAATGCATTTTTGACTTACTATGTATTTCCAACTTATGATGGGTTTATCAGAAAATCAATGAAAATCTGTATATGGGGCTTCCCTGATGGCTCAGTGGCAAAGAATCCACCTGAAAATGCAGAAGACACGAGTTCGATCCCTGATCTGGGAAGATCCCACACCAAGCCCGTGTGCCACAAGTACTCAGCCTGTGCTCCAGAGCCCAGGAGCTGCGACTGCTGAGGCCTGCGCACCCTGCCTCCCGCGCTCCGCAGAAAGAGAAGCCTCCGCAGTGAGAAGCCCGGGCCCCACGGCTGGTCAGCTGCCCTTGCTCAGCACAGCTAGGGAAAAGCCTGTGCAGCGACAAAGACCCAGTACAGCCAAAGATAAGGAAATTAAAACTACATATAATATATACTTTAGTATATAATGTAATATATATTTAATACATTTATATAATGATATATACATGTCATATAAAATGTGTTTTAATAATATATATATACACACACATATATAAAAGATATGTATATAGGCTCCTCCTTTCATTCAAAAACAGAAAAATTCCTAATTAGGATCACCTGACAAAGTCCCAAAACAGTGTACAAATCCTTGAGAACTAACTTTGCAACATAAGAATATTCATTTAATTATCAATTGATGACAAATTCCTTGGGCAAGAAGCGAACTCCCTTAAAGGGATAAACATTCCCACATTCCCAACTGCACCTTGGGTAAGTAAACCCAGGCCAAACTTCTAAACTAGATTCTTCTGGATATTTTTGTGACAAAGACCGATGTGGAGCCATCATTTCTATCATAATACTTTCACTTGCAAAGCAGCTATGGCACTTAGATGTTCTCCCCTCCACCAGTTGGTACAGCTTTGCGCCTGCTTCCCCACCTCCTCTAAGGGTTAGTGCAGTAGTAAAATCACTCGTCTCCACCAGGCTTGGAAGCCTATGAAGAGAAGCAGTTGTGTACCCAATCCTGTGAGAGATAGTCACAGTGACTCAAAAAAATATAGCTAATTTAACGTTGAAAGTGGTCTCTTTTTAAGAGTGGGAGAGGACCTCCCTGGTGGTCCAGTGGTTAGGAATCCGCCTGCCAATCCAAGGGACATGGGTTTGGTCCCTGGTCTGGGAAGACCCCCCCATGCAGAGGGACGACTAAGCCTGTGTGCCACAACTACCGAGCCCATGCGCTGCAACTACTGAAGTCCACGCTCTGCAACAAGAGGGGCCAGCACAATGGGAGCCCGCCCGCCACAGCTAGAGAAAGCCTGCACACGGCAACAAAGACCCAGCGCAGCCAACAAATAGATGCATTTTTCTAGGTGGGAGGTCTCAGGAAAGGACTAGGTGGTGGAGGAGACTTGCTGAGGAGGGGACAATGTTCCATCTTGGCTGTGGTCACAGGGCAGCCACTTCATAGTAATTCTTTATTCACATGCTTCACACATTTGTATGTATACACTTCATACACCTCTAAATATATGTATGTTTCACAAAACAACTGTTTCGGGAATGTGGGCAGATACTCATCTCCAGTTATCTTCCCCAGATGGTAAGGCAAAGGAAGGTGACATTTGGAAGAACAAACGTGAACCATGCAAACCTACTGAAAACTGTCACATTTCAGCCCATGTCCACAATTACCTTCAAAAGCAGTTCCTCCCACTCCCATAACCTTTTATCCAGCATACTGCCATAAATAAACACACACAAACATGAACTAACAACTTCAACTTTTAATAATGGAAACAATTTGCCATTCCAGAAACAATTTTGGGGGGGAAAAAAAAACTCTTTCCCCATAAAAATAAACTTAAACTCACGAAAATTATAAATATTATAATTTTTTTTTTTAACTTCTGTGATTTAAAATGCTCCCCTGCAATACCACCCCTTCATTTAACCTCGTTCCTGTACCATCACATACTGAAGAGAAAACAGTATTACAGCAAAGCTTAGACAGTTTAATTTAACATAAGAATTTGTACAATAACTTTTTAAAATCTGTGGCCTCAGTGGCCTCTTACACATTAAAAATGCGGCAGTCACCAGTGTTCGGGAGAGACCATTGGTCTTCAAGAATCATGAACCGACAGGACTTCAACACAGTTAAGTTTTCCAAACTGAAACTTGTAGTGCAGATGACAATGAGCGAGGTCCCGGATCATACAGACGAGGATGCCTAATTTAGACAATCTACTTCAAGTAAAAAAAAAAAAAAAAAAATTTCACAGATACCCATCAGGTAACTACTTTAAGGTTCGAACAGTGTCTTAATCTGAGAAACAACGGCTTCACAAAATATGAGCTTACTGGGATGGGTAATTAAAAGACCAGGTGGTTGATAACAGTACACTCACACCAAAGCCATAGTCTGAATAGTAAAACCGGTATAAAAATCATGAAGGCATTCCCTGAACAATGAAGGTAAAGAATTGGTTGACAATGTCACTAAAACCTCATTGAGGCACTAAAAGGAACTTACATGCAAAATTAAACAAGATGTGCCATACATATTTTATAGCTAGTTCTACCTTTTTTTTTTTTGTTTCTTTCCAACTTTCCTTAAAAAGCTTAGGAAGATATGATTGTCTCAGTAATGTGTGTGGCATAGCAGAAGCGACACATCTGCCTCCAATAAGACGGGTGTTCTCTGAAAAGTCAGAAGATCCACCAAGTAGGGAACAGAAATGCAGTTCTTAAAAAAGGCACAGTTCACTTAGGAGGCCAAGAACTGAAGCACCTTGGAATTTCAAAAAGAATCCATTAGGTGTCACCAAAGTGTTAACAATTCCTTGGGAATTTATAAACAACATCTAGACTACAAATAGACTGGAAGGCCCCTCTGGAAGCACAACACACCTTTCCTGTTGTTTTCAGATTAACTACTGCATAAAATGAGACTATTTAACCTGTTTTAAGGAAGGCTCCTATTGCACATGCACTTCTTTGGTCTGCAGGAACATGCACTTTGGTTAAAAATCTAAGAACCCCCCTCCTCTGTGGTCCGCTGGGAGTGGACGCTGCCCCCCGCTCCCACTTGACCGTCACCCTTCGGAACTGAGGACCTGACGGTCGTCCTGGGCCTCCTTAATCCACACCCCTGTTCCACATCAGTCTTCTTCAGTTCATAAGAGGAGAAGGGAGAGCAGTGAGGGGAGGGAAGGAGGAAGAAGGGAGGGGAAGGCTAAAGGGAGAGGAGGGAGTGATAAACAAGAGTGGCGAGAGCCCCTCACTTTGCAAATCACTCGACAAGTCCCAGTTGGGGGGTGGGGGGGCGTTGGGGGGCTGGGCGGTACACTGCCTCCTCCCGAACTCCTTTTCCGCTTTGAAAAGCAACCTCAGGGGGAGACTGTAACGTCACAGGGGTCAGAGCTGGCGCTCAGCGCCCGGCCGGCCCAGAGAAGCTGCGCACGCATCAGACCTCCCGCCCCGGAAGGGCGGGGAGGGCGCTGGCTCACCAAGATGGCGGCTCACCAAGATGGAGGCTCACCAAGATGGCGGCTCACCAAGATGGCGGCTCCCCCTGCCTCCCCGGCCGGCGGTCAGTTCCTCCTCTGGGTCTAGCTCCTACTTTCTTTGGTTTCCGTTCCCACGTTTTACTCACCAGGAAATCAAGCACTATGACAATGGATTTAATGTCTCTAAACTGAAAGCTTTTAACCCCTCAACAAGCAAGTTCACCTCCTTCGCCACCATCCACTTACCCAAACCACCTCCCCTCAGGGCTCCCCACCTCCACCCTCCAACGTCTTCCATCCCTCCTCTTTCCTCTCTGTCAGACTCCTCCAAAACCCTTCACCAACTCCTCAGCGCCCCTAGCTTCCTGTGCCCTTCAATTTACATGAATTGTTTCCTCCGACATTAAAAACAAAACAAAAAACCCCCAGTAACAGACAGGTAGTTTCAAGGTAAGACAAGTATTCAGAAATAGTCTTTGTTAAGCTTTTAAAAAATCATTTGCGCAACCTTAAGCTTAACATCATCATATACTCAACTAAAAGAAAATAAGGAAAAAAACACAACTCAAAGTCCATGCTTCAAAGCACTCTAGAATGCTCCAGATGAGACGACAGGTTCACAGCTTGCCAAGAGGTAACACCGTGGTGCCGTTAACAGAACAAGCTTCCGGAATCCCTGACAGAGGACGCCCAAGCTGCAGGATGCTGCGTGACCAGTTTGGGGGAACCAGATCTAGAGATTTGTAAAAAGGAAAGGCCCTAGCATCATAGGGCAAGAAAACTGCCCTCCGACAAGAGAGAGCCTGGCCGCCGGTGCACACGAGGTCCCGTGCCGTCCCTGAGGGGCAGGGAGCCTCCCACTTTACCCCGGTTTCCACGCCTGGCTGAGGGCTTCTTCCAGCTTGTGTCTGTAGGCCGCATAGCGCTCCTTCAGGTTCTGTAGCTGCTCGTCTTCTTCCTTGTCCAAGATCCTCAAGAAATTCTGTAGCTCTGGCAGGCTGAAGGCTTCCCACTGTGAAGGGAACACAAAAATGAAAAACGCCAGGTGTTTATTAATTCAAGACTCAGGAATGAGGAGGGCGGGGAGCACAGCGGGGTGTGATTGCCTTCCCCTCCTGACTCACACTGCCCAGTGCTGCCCGGCCTTCTCAGAAGGCCTGGTGGACAAGAGAGCTGAGCCTCCTGACCAGCCTTACATCCCCACCTCGGCTCACTCCCACTGCCCGCTGCTCCCCTCCTCCCAGCCTCCTCCAAAAGGGCTCTAAGAGCAAACGCCTAACTCCATTAGACACTAACCCACAGAAGCATGAAGTGGAGCTCCACACTCCCTCCTCCCTCCCTCTCCGTGGGTTCCTCACTGTCACTGCCTTCTTCCCCAGTTCCCACGATCAATCTCACCCCTCCTATCCACCACCATCTTCCCCTCCAACCCTGGGCTAGCCTCCCAGCTCCACTTTTCCATTCCCTAATCTGTTCCCCCAAACAGCCAGCCTGAATACTCTCTCTAAAATGCCAATCGAGGCATGACCGTCCATGTCTGGAACCATTCAGTGGCTTCCTGTGGTGGTTTCTGCTAAGTCTGAAAGACGGTCCCCTCTCCAGTCCACCTCTGTCCCTGCGCCCCTCACTCATTGCCCTGTGTGGCTCTGCACACGCTTTCCCCTCCTCCACTCTGCCGGTGAACTCCTCCGCAACCTTCAAGTCCCAGAGTCCATGCCACTCTAAGAAGCCTTCCATGATTTCCTTCCCTTCTTGCTCAGTCAGGATTACGTCTTTTAGAAACTTTCACTGAGCACTGGAAGCCCTAATCACAGCCTGATCACAAAAGACCTAAACAGTGTTATAATTATTTGGTTAGTATTTCTCTTGTCTGCACTGCATCTGTTATACTTCCAACTATGTGGGCTTTGTCTTTGGCCCTTGAGCTTCTGACTTCGTTTTCCCTAATAGCACCTGGTACTCGGCAGGCACAAAATGTTTATGGTATTTTTCTAAAAAAAAATAAATAATTTTTTTAAGCAGTAAATATCAAGAAGGGTATGTGGCATCACCTGGGAGGTTTCTTTCCAAACTACACCTCCTCCCCTCCCAAAAGGAGGCCCTCAGTCCTGGGCTGAGCACCACTATCTCAGCCAGGAGCAATGTCTGATGGGGGGACTCCCGGGGGATGGGAAAAAACAGGATAACCTATTAGAAGTGCCGAGAGAGGAGACAGAATAAAATCACCAAATGGATCGATGATTGAAGGAAATTGGCTCTTGGAGACTTGACTGAGCTAGTTACTAAAGAAAGTGAGAGGTGAAGCGGGAGAACAAAACTGTCTACATTAGAATACTCAGTTAATTTGAAAATCAACAATCTATTTTTCACAAAAGTTCTCCAAAATAAAGACATTATAAATTAGCATCTCCCTCCCACTCTCTGACAGCTATGGAAAGTTTCTTCTCTCAATTCAGTTAACCTCAAAAACTTGAGACACAGGCATACCATAGAGAGGTCAGAAAGCAATCCAGAACATTAGAACACAATGTAGAGTGAATTTCAAAACTAAGCCAATATAATTCCCTCCCAGACAATGCAGCTCCAATTACACTAACTAAACTATGTGCAACACTCAGAAACTAGGACCAAGAAAGAGAAGATGCTACAGGACTGTGCTGATGCGGCTGACTTGTGTGCAGAGGGTAGACTATCAGTTCAGTTCAGTTCAGTCACTCAGTCGTGTCCGACTCTTTGCGACCCCATGAACCCCAGCACGCCAGGCCTCCCTGTCCATCACCAACCCCCGGAGTCTACCCAAACCCATGTCCATCGAGTTGGTGATGCCATCCAGCCATCTCATTCTCTGTCATCCCCTTCTCCTGTGCCCAATCCTTCCCAGCATTAAGGGTCTTTTTCAATGAGTCAACTCTTCGCATGAGGTGGCCAAATTACCGGAGTTTCAGCTTCAGCATCAGTCCCTCCAATGAACACCCAGGACTGATCTCCTTTAGGATGGACTGGTTGGATCTCCTCACAGTCCAAGGGACTCTCAAGCTCCTTCTCCAACACCACAGTTCAAAAGCATCAATTCTTCGGTGCTCAGCTTTCTTCCCTGTCCAACTCTCACATCCATACATGATTACTGAAAAAACCATAGCCTTGACTAGATGGACCGTTGTTGGCAAAGTAATGTCTCTGCTTTTAAATATGCTATCCAGGTTGGTTATAACTTTCCTTCCAGGAGCAAGCGTCTTTTAATTTCATGGCTGCAATCACCATATGCAATGATTTTGGAGCCCCAAAAAATAAAGTCAGCCACTGTTTCCACTGTTTCCCCATCTATTTCCCATGAAGTGATGGGACCAGATGCCATGATCTTAGTTTTCTGAATGTTGAGCTTTAAGCCAACTTTTTCACTCTCCTCTTTCACTTTCATCAAGAGGCTTTTTAGTTCCTCTTCACTTTCTGCCATAAGGGTGGTGGTGTCTGCATATCTGAGGTTATTGATGTTTCTCCCGGCAATCTTGATTCCAGTTTGTGCTTCTTCCAGCCCAACATTTCTCATGATGTACTCTGCATATAAGTTAAATAAGCAGGGTGACAATATATAGCCTTGACGTACTCCTTTTCCTATTTGGAACCAGTCTGTTGTTCCATGTCCAGTTCTAACTGTTGCTTCCTAACCTGCATACAGATTTCTCAAGAGACAAGTCAGATGGTCTGGTCTTCCCCATCTCTTTAAGAATTTTCTACAGTTTATTGTGATCCACACAGTCCAAGGATTTGGCATAGTCAACAAAACAGAAATAGATGTTTTTCTGGAACTCTCTTGCTTTTTCAATGATCCAGCAGATATTGGCAATTTGATCTCTTGTTCCTCTGCTTTTCTAAAACCAGCTTGAACATCTGGAAGTTCACAGTTCACGTATTGCTGAAATCTGGCTTGGAGAATTTTGAGCATTACGTTATTAGTATGTGAGATGAGTGCAATTGTGTGGTAGTTCGAGCATTCTTTGGCATTGCCTTTCTTTGGGATTGGAATGAAAACTGACCTTTTCCAGTCCTGTGGCCACTGCTGAGTTTTCCAAATTTGCTGGCATATTGAGTGCAGCACTTTCACAGCATCATCTTTCAGGATTTGAAATAGCTCAACTAGAATTCCATCACCTCCACTAGCTTTGCTCACAGTGATGCTTTCTAAGGCCCACTTGACTTCACATTCCAGGATGTCTGGCTCTAGGTCAGTGATCACACCATCGTGATTATCTGGGTTGTGAAGATCTTTTTTGTATAGTTCTTCTGTGTATTCTTGCCACCTCTTCTTAATATCTTCTGCTTCTGTTAGGTCCCTACCATTTCTGTCCTTTATTGAGCCCATCTTTGCATGAAATGTTCCCTTGATATCTCTAATATTCTTAAAGAGATCTCTAGTCTTTCCCATTCTGTTGTTTTTCTCTATTTCTTTGCATTGATTGCCGAGGAAGGCTTTTTTATCTCTCCTGGCTATTCTTTGGAACTCTGCATTCAGATTGGAATATTTTTCCTTTTCTCCTTTGCTTTTTGCTTCTCTTCTTTTCACAGCTATTTGGAAGGCCTCCTGAGACAGCCATTTTGCTTTTTTGCATTTCTTTTCCATGGGGATGGTCTTAATCCCTGTCTCCTGTACAATGTTATGAACCTCCATCCATAGTTCATCAGGCGCTCTATCAGATCTAGTCCCTTAAATCTATTTCTCACTTCCACTGTATAGTCATAAGGGATTTGATTTAGGTCATACCTGAATGGTCTAGTGGTTTTCCCTACTTTCTTCAATTTAAGTCTGAATTTGGCAATAAGGAGTTCATGATCTGAGCCACAGTCCGCTCCCAGTCTCGTTTTTGCTGACTGTATAGAGCCTCTCCATCTTTGGCTGCAAGAATATAATCAATCTGATTTCGGTATTGACCATCTGGTGATGTCCATGTGTAGTCTTCTCTTGTGTTGTTGGAAGAGGGTGTTTGCTATGACCAGTGTGTTCTCTTGGCAAAACTCTATTAGCCTTTGCCCTGCTTCATTCCGTACTCCAAGGCCAAATTTGCCTGTTACTCCAGGTGTTTCCTGACTTCCTACTTTTGCATTCCAGTCCCCTATAATGAAAAAGACATCTTTCTTGGCTGTTAGTTCTAAAAGGTCTTATAGGTCTTCATAGAACCGTTCAACTTCAGCTTCTTCAGCGTTACTGGTGGGGCATAGGCTTGGATTACCATGATACTGAATGGTTTGCCTTGGAAACGAACAGACTATCAAGTGCCAGCCAAAACCTCAAATTTTAGACTTTTGTACCAAGCCATCTCTTCAAAATGAGAGTGGATTTTAAAGATTTCAAAAGATAAAATCAAAAGAAACTTCCAAAATGTCCCAAATCACTGTCTTCCTAAAATTCCCCTAAATAAACTTCCAATTTACGCTGACATATAAACATACTCTTTACCAAGAATGTTTACATACATTTCTAATTTGTGACTCAAAACCACCTTTTCAAGTTTGTAGCCCCACGTTACAGATTTTAAAACTGAGGACTGAAAAGAGCAGATTTACCCAATGTTGTGCTCCTAATTTGGTAAAAGCGATGGCAGGAAGCAGAGTCTTCGTTTCTTAACTTTAACCTAGAAACTATTCTCACTGCATCACAAAATACTCTACATGGATAATTCGTGCCATTTCCAATTCTAGACAAAAGGCTGAGACCCAGAGCTTGAGAGATTTACTCAACTGACACTTGATCTAGAAGGACAGTCTAAAGTGCCTTTTCCTTCAACTGAACTGACCTAAATACAATCCTTCTTGGAGAGAAAGTGGCAAATAATGCACGTATAGACATAAATTCTTAAATTATCTGGGCAAAGAGGAAAGAAAGAGTCTAGAAAGTTAAATGGCTTTCATAGTAAAGAGACTGTGTTTCCCTTTATTCCCTTTAGAGCGAAGGAGCCTGGAGACTTTGATTACCAGCAAACATATGGAGAGTGTCAACTTTCAAAGCGCAGCTGGATTAGAGTAATTTGGAGGTGGAAGGGGTGAAAATGAGTCTGGGAGGTGATAAAGTTTAAAAAGAAAGTGTATATCCTCCCACCTCTGAAAATTACAGACCCAAATAATGAGTGTTACAAGAAAATTATATTGTAGACTAACTCTGGGTTCATTTCTGACATTCAAAAACGCCCTGCCTCCACAGGACCACCTCTCCTCCCATGACAGGCAGACACACACATTCCCTCTCCCTCCCCACCCCTCCTCCTCCGCAGTCAGTGGCAGAGTCACTGGACCAGAGCGATGAAGCAGGACCAGCTGGTCTGCAGAGTTTAAAGCAAGAATGAACAATCACTTACCTCTCCAATTTCATGTTCGCGAAGAACAAAACTGAGTGTGTCTGTTCTGGGACCTGCTACCAGACGCAGGTAGAGTGGATGTTCCCGGTCCGAGAGCTTGCAGGCGTAGACTGGTGAGAACGAGAGGCGTGTCACAAATACAACACGACATCATTGCGCTCGCCATCCCCAGATCAACGCAACAGTGTGATTACCTCAGCCACCTGGGCACCACCCTCCTCATCTTGTCACCAATAAATAGCCTACAGTGGATGAATTCTATACTATTTCCATTCTATCTGCATAATGTAAACTGGGCCTTGGTTTAAAAAGGAAATCATTCTTGAGAATGAATTTAAATGAGTATCACTCTCAAAATGGGCTTATAATTCATCCCGTTCCTCCTTTTAGAAAGCAAGATAAACCTAAAACAGGATCTGCAATCCCTGCAACAATAAAAATATACCTTCCCAAGAACATGAGATCAGAACTCTAGAAGCAAATTTTCCTACAGATTAATTTAGATTCAGCAGGCACAAACAAAGCAGTCTGTCTGAACGCAAGCTCTGCATATACACACACACACACACACACACACACTCTCTCCCTCTCTCTCTCTCTCTCTCCCCCCCTTGTAGGGTTGAAAGATCTGCCTTGTGGGTAATATGTCGGTAGGATGCTATTACTGTTAGATTATGCAGCTAAAGACCAGGTGGGGCACGCAAAGGAGGAGGCAAGACAAAACGCCATCTGAATTGATCTGTATTATTTTCTCCCTTTCGGAGACCACTGCATTATGCATTATATATACATCTCCCCTGGAAATGTAAACTTCCCCCCACTCTGAGCCTGTGGCCTCTGAAGGAGGGGAACTTCAGCCTGTTCAGCCCTGTATTCTGCAGGCTCTGCCCACAGTACATGTTGAAGAACCGTGAACATACTCAGCATCTAGCTGGGTTTAACCCTAGGCAACCAAGGGACTTTCCCATCATGCCAAGGTGAGTGGGTTTTCTGCCACACAGCTGCTATAGGCTCAACCCAGAAAAACTAGGGAAAGCACAAATGTTCACATATACACACCATTTTCAAATCAGCACTTAGTGAATCACTAAATCCCTGTTGTCCACCATCAGTATCAATTTCTGTTCAACGATGACCTGACCTGGAATATCTTATTCAGTAATTTAAGATTCTTTTAAATCCACTGATTGTGGGTATTAAGTTCAGACAGGTAGACCTCAGATCAAAATGTTATTCATCCACTGCATGTGCCTCTGGTGGGGTGGAGGGTAGGGGGGTCAGGGTGCCAACCCATCGCAGGGTCACACCTAGCATGAGACAGGCTAAGGGAAAAGGAGAGCCCAGGACTGTGCCATTGACAGAAGCCTGCAAGTTGACCAATCACATCCAATGTCAATGTGCTACTGAAAACTTAAGCACAAAGGCATTCTTCTTTGTGCTGGGTGGGGTGGTGGGGGCGGGGGGAGGGAGGCTATCCTATAAATCCTCCATAAATACCCATCACATACTTCACATACAGATACCTCTGGGCTCTCAGACCGAGAGCTGTCCACCTGAAAAACACAGCCAGCCAGGATGCAGTCACCATTTATTCCAGAATACATCCCCGGGCTCTGACATAACTGATACAGGTACACCCACCAGTCTTCCACGAATGAGGTCAAAAGACAGAAACAAAAGCAGGAACCATTTTCATTTTAAGCATGGTACCTTGATCTTCCCGGTGACACCGCTTATAAAGTGCAAACTTGGTAGGGCTCTCGGTCACAAGAAACTTCTTAAGCAGGGCCTCAATCACTTCGCCAACGGTGTTCGTGCTGCTGATGTGAAGGGTGTTCATACAGCCATTGCTACTGGGAGCGGGCTTTCCAGCCGTCTGTGAAGGTTTGCAGAGTTCCATCTGTACTTTAATGAAGCCAGTGTAAATCCCATTTGAATTCTGAGGCAGGAAGAGGAACACACACGTGAGCTGGGCGTTTTAGGGCAGGAGCGTATCAAAACAACAACAGAAAAGGGAGGTGAAACACTCCCTCCCTTATCCTCGTCTTTTATGGCTCTGGGGCCGAGGCTCACTCTAGACGGCCCCTCAGGAGACGACCTCGGAAAGGTTAACACACTCCAGGAAAGGGCTTCTCGGGAAAGGTCTGCAGGGCAGATGTGGGGACCAAAGCCTGCGAAGCTGCATGTGAAAGGTCGGGGCCCACGGGTGAGCCTGCCATCCCCTGGCACAGATGCTGGCCAAACCACAAGGCTTGTTAAAGCCTGGGGCCATGTGCAGGCTAACTGCTCAAAGGAAACATCTCCAACTGATGACCAGCTATTACACAAAAAAGGAAAGTCACAATTAGGACTCTGAAATACTCAAGTAACAAGGGGCAGACGGGAAGAAAACAAGCTATTTTCATCCCTAGTAGCTAGCCTATGTACCAGACATTACCAACTTTGCTTAAACTATTTTATATAGTGTAGGATCCCCCTCTAGCGTGGGATACACAATGAGGCACTTCAGACACCTCAAGCAGAATATTTTTACAACAAATTCAAGTTACAATGTAAACCATAGACATTATTATACAAACACTTGTGTTTTGTTTTTTTCTTTGGCCAGGCCACAAAGCATGCAGGGTCCTAATACCCTAACCAGGGCCTCCTGCAGTGGAGTCTTAACCACTGGACCACAGGGGACATCCCCTGCACTTGTCTTAATTGGTGGTAGAATATTTTAGTTGCTAAAAATAGTTATAATGGTCTGGTCTTCACTTTTAACTTCTAGTATATTCAGAAAAAAACAAACAAACATTGTAATGCTTTATTTAAATGAGCCTTCAGGTTAAGTTATATATAAATGACAGTTAACACAGAACATGAAACATCTCCTTTATGGACCATTGTTTTTCTTCCTTTCCACAAGATCAATTTATAGTACTAATCCACTCATTATTCTTGTGGAAAGTATTATACAACATTTCACTTTTTCTTTTTAATCTTTGAAATGACATGGAAATTTGCATCTGTTTTAATCTCCAAGGGGGAGAGAATGTTCTGCTTTGATAAAAACCATGTTTGAAAAAGGAGAAGTAAGACTGGTGGAGTAAAGAGGAATAATCTTGAGATTATCTGCTGTCTTCCCTTTTTGGGTGGAATCCCACCAGATAGGGATCCTTTCTCACAAGGGTTTATATTTAAAAGCTCCTCCCCAAGGGTCACAGAACTCAGTTGGACCTGTTCTAACCAGGTCGTCCCATCCTTTGCTGAGCTCTTGTCAGTTCAGGGGCACTAGGCGGCCAGGCAGGGCTTCAAGGGCCCTGGACACTGGCCCCGAGGGGTGGCAGGTGCCTCGAGGAAGGTCGCCGCGGGCTGGGCAAGGCCAGGCCGGCCAGGGGAGCCCGCAGCGGGCTCTGCTGTGCGCGTCCCTCCTCTGTCACCGAGCCTGGGCTTTGCCGTCCTGCACCCGTGCTCCCCGCTGAGCTCCGGACAGCTCCAGCACAAAGCTGTAGAAAAGGCCAAGTTGAAACAACAGTGCAGGAGGCTGACTGTTACTAATACACGCTCGTCTTACACCCACAACCAGCTGAGAAAACTCCGAGCTCAATTATATCCCGATCCGTGGTCACAAAATCCTTTTCCTGACACTTCCAGATTTATTTGCATAAGGTAAAACTTATCTAAAGCCTTGTTAGGATCTGAGTTACCGTCCCTGTGTTAAACAGGCAAGGATTACACTCAGTGCTAAGAACCCTTTGGAGGTCATAACATCTTTCAAAATAAAATTTTAGGAAGTGTTGACTGATTTTGAGATAAAGCTACTTCAAAATACAGCTTTCATTTGAAAGATGCAGAAATATCTGGTTTTCTGGTCCTATATGCCTTAATCTTTAAATTTCTGCAAGCGTGATTCAGAGATTTTAAAACAAACAGACTGTGGTACTAACAACTTATAGTTGTCCTTTGATATTGTCAAGCTAAACAGTATTATTAGCATGGGTGCTCACCAAGGTCATCTTCAACTTGTCTGTGACTGCTAAGTTGTATTTATGAACTTTCTCTTTGATTTCCTCTTTGCTGAGGTAATTGTGGGTTTCCTTCTCTTTCTCCACATCCTAGAAGAAAAATAAGCCAAACCACCCATGAGCAGTCATAGAAAAAAATGAAGACAAGCCAGGATTCTTTTCACATGCCGCATAACGACAGCTATGGAGCACTTTACCTTCCCTCTCTCTCTCTCTCTCTCACACACACACACACACACACCCCCTATGAACTTTACGATTTTTATAGCTTTACAGTCTTTATCAGTAAAACGTATGGTAGTTAATAAGTGTTAAACTGGCACTAATCACTGACCTGTCAAATTCGACACAACTGCCAGAAGCTAATTTAATCTCCAAAGATACACGTAGCCAGACCTCCTGGACCCACCCACTCTCAACCCCCACCCCTCCAGTCTCTCCCCACATTCTGCAGGGCAGAACTTTAGTGAAATCCTCTCTTGACTGTGACAAATTCACCAACTGTTTTGCCTAAAGAGCTCAGCCAGTGCATGACGTCGTGTGACAGCTGATGCCAATCGCCGATGGCCACACTCCAGAGGCCCGTGGCCCCTGAAGCCAGGCACGCCAGGCAACTGACTTATCCGGCGTTTGCTTCTCCCAACAACCTAACCAAGCAGGCGCTTTTACTTCCGTTTCTAGATGAGATCAAGTTCTAAGAAGTAAACTAATCTCCCAATAAAAACTGCTCTGTAGAAGTGTTGGCCTTACCTGAAAAACCTGATCCCAGAGCCCACCCACCCTCAGGAACCCCAAGTACTTGCACCTGGGGTCCTCATTTTAACCTTCGTCAGCATCCCCCCGTTACAGAGGCATGGAGGCTGACAGAGGTCAAGGGGCTTGCCGGGGACAATTGGTTAAGATACCAAGCTCGATTTTAATCCAGGTCCCGTGTTGTTTCCACTAAACTGAATAGGCTCCCACCATTCCTGTGTGGGTGTTTGAAAACTTAAAGAAAGGCTGCATAATCATATTCAAACCTGAGAAATAAACTCAAAAAAGAAGAAGGGTCTGAATAACCTTCAAGATAGAGAGGAGACTGGATGGTTTAATAACCCCCTAAATAAAACCTTTAAAAAGTACCTCTTTTCCAGCCAGATACATCACCCCATCCTCGCAGCTGCAGGCTATCGGAGTAGGCATTTGCTCCCACCGGACACTGGGAGCGAGTGTGATGAACACAGCCCCCCCAGCGAGGGAAGAACTTGCATGCAGGAGCGCTTTAAGGGCATCAAATCCATTCAGGTCTCATGTTCCTTGACTGGAGACCCAGAGAGGGCTGTGCTGACTGTAAGTCATCTCAGGAACTTTGCGATTCCAGTCCTGTCCTAGCGAGGTCTGACGGGTCAGTGTTGGGAGGCCAGCGTGGTCACTGCCCAGCTTCGGAAGCAAACCTCAAGTCCCCTAGGGAGCATTCTATCTACCAGTGTCAAGTCCCAGAGCAATCTTATTTTTGGTGTCAATGGTTAGGGGAGGAAAAAGCTGTAGATTAAAGTAACTTTTCAGGAGCTTCAGTGACTATTTCTAAGGAAATTTAAAACATGTCTCTCACATCTCTCTGCCTGACCCACTCTTTCCAGTCCACAATTAGCCAGCTCCAGGTCATGGCTGGAGCAGAAAATGAGAGTCTTACAGCATTCATTATTCACTATGAACTATCCAAAGACTCTTCAAAGCACACCCTAAAAAGTATACAATAAGAGGGGGGAGGGTTAAACTAGGAATTTGGGATTCACAGATACACACTACTAAATATTAAAGATAAACAACAAGGACCTACTGTATAGTACAGGGAACTATATTCAGTATCTTCTAACAACTTATAATGGAAAAGAACCTGAAGAAGAATCTGTCGGAAACAGAACCACTTTCCTGTACATCTGAAACACAGTAAGTCAACTACACCTCAATTGGAGAAAAAAAGAGAAAATAATTATAAGATATAATACATGGTACTTCCCTGGACATCCAAGGGTTAAGACTGCGTTTCCATTACTGGGGATGAGCATTCAATCCCTGGTTGGGAATCCCAACTAAGATCCCACATGCCACACACTGCAGCCAAAAAAATGGTTTCATTAAACAAAAAATATATATGTAACATTTTTAAAACAAAAGTGTACAATGAGAGACTTTCCATTTCATGGGTGTGGGATGTGATGTTGGCAGGGCAAAGGGTTCTGGGAAAGTGCCCCATTCCAGCCAGACCTGGGACTTGGCCAGGTCACCGAAACTAATGCTGAGCCCTGGGCTACTAACCTGAGTCTGCTCTCTCGTTTCCCATCAGATAAGAAATGATACTGGAGTAGACGTCTCCCAAGTGTTTCCCTGCTTTCTGTTTGCAAAACTGTGCTTCCACTAGTTCGACCAATGGGACAGGATGGCTCCACTCAAGGAATCAAGGAAACCAAGGGCTCACCATTAAAAACACACAAAAATAGTAAACTGTCTGAATACTGGAGCGTACATGCGCTCTAGGGGCTTACTACTTGAAGAAAGAAGAAAAGGAGAAAGGCTGAGGGGAGTGCAGAAGAGCAACGGGCAGGTGGTCAGATAATTTCAGTCAGTCCTTGATCACAGGTTTTCCTGATAACACTGGACTTGGCACCCATCTTGAGGCCTCCTCGGGTCAGCATTCCCAGGAGCTTCAGACAAAGGAGCAGGCCAGTCTGGGAAGAGAAACTTGCCCTGGGTCAACCACACATGCATAACTGAGACATGCCTGTGTAAAACCACTCAGCCGACTTTCTCAGAGATTAAAAACCCAGCAAACCATAGGAAGCAACAACAAAAAAGAGATGGATCCAAAGATCTCCAAGATCTCTTCCAAACCTAAAATCTCATTATTAAAAGATCAACTGCAAAGCAAATCCCAGAGAAGCAATTAAACCCTAAAGGGCTGTGAGCCTGTATTTTCCTTAAAAACCTATGAAAAGAAAGTGAAAGCGAAGTCGCTCAGTCGTGTCCGACTCTTGGCGACCCCAAGGCCTATAGCCTACCAGGCTCCTCTGTCCACGGGATTTTCCAGGCAAGAATACTGGAGTGGGTTGCCAGTTCCTTCTCCAGGAGATCTTCCCGACCCAGGGATTGAACCCAGGTCTCCCGCATTGTACGCAGACGCTTTACCATCTGAGCCACCAGGGAAGTCCTTAAATACCTATATATACTTGTAAAGCAAGTATAATTGATTTACAATATTATAATAGTTTAAGGTATATAACATAGTAGGCTTCCAGGTGGTGCTAGTGGTAGAGAACCTGCCTGCCAATGCAGGAGACACAGAAGACTCGGGTTCGATCCCTGGTTCAGGAAGATCCCCTGGAGGAGGGCATGGCAAGCCACTCCAGTATTCTTGCCTGGAGAATCCCCTGGACAGAGGAGCCTGGCAGGTTACAGTTTATAGGGTCGCAAAGAGCTGGACACAACTGAAGCGACTTTGACATGTAACATCCTGTTTGTTTCAGGTGTACAACATAATGATTTTATATGTACATAAAAATGGTCACCAAAGAAAGTTCAGTTTACATTCATCACCACCCAGTTCATTTTTTTTCCTTCTGATAAGAATGCCTAAGATCTACACTCTTCTTCTGTGATCTTGCATTTTTCAGTCAACTGAGGCAGCAACTGTTCACCAAGGCCTAGTCACTCAGCGAATATTTTCTGACCAGAAGCTGTGGGCCAGGCGTGCCCCGTGTGGGGACATCACACAGCACCTCCACCTTCATGGCACTTCCTGTCCGACGCAGGCGTGAGTGAGGCATGGCAGAGAAAGAGAGCCTTCCAGGAGGCTCACTAAGCCCAGTGCCTCCGAGGAGAGGAGCCTGGCAGCCACGGGATAGGCCTAGGAGCCACACCTGAGGCCCTGGGGCGGAGGACGCTGGCTTCCCTTAGTGTCGGAACTGGAGAAAGTCTCCGGGTTTGGGAAACTTCCAGGCTGTTTAACCCTTTAAAAGAGGACACCCTGGCCCTTCCTCTCACACCAGGAAGAATCCTCCTGCGTGTCCTCCAAACACAATGCAAGCCTACGGGCTTCCCTGGTGGTTCAGATGTAAAGAATCTGCCTGCAAATGCAAGAGACCTAGGTTTGATCCCTGGTTCGGGAAGACCCCCTGGAGAGAAGGGCATGGCAACGCACTCCAGTCTTCTCGCCTGGAGAGTCCCCCGGACAGAGGAGCCTGGCGGGTCACAGTCCACAGGGTCTCAAAGAGCCGGGCACGAGTGAGCTCCCAACACTGCTTCTACACTAGCAGGACAGAGCCCAGAAGGGAGAAAGCAGATTCCGTGAGTACAAAGGCAAGGAGAAGGTTAAAAAGAACAAACCACGTGGCGGGCGTGGGACAGAGAGCACGGAGCGTAAACATTCATCTGCAATTGCATGGCGGGGAGGAAATGGCATGGTGGCAGGAGTCTGTGAACGCATCCGCTATTGTTCTTGGCAGCTGGGGAGGGTATGGTGCCACGCCTGAGAGTGTCTGTTTGGGAAGTCACCAGTCAGCTTTTTTATAAGCCATTTTTCTTTTACATTCCCCAAACCCTCCAGTTTCTCAAAGGGCAAGCTCTTCCATGCAAAACTATAAACCCTAGACTCTTTGCTCATGTTTACACCTAGCAAATCTCTGGAAGGCTGCTATTGGGTTTGCCTCAGTTCCTGGGTGAGGTCACATTGCTGTTTTTACACCGGTGAACTTTCATAAGGGGCACGCCCTACCTCCCAGACACACAGGAATCCCAGGCAGCGTGGCTCAGACTATGTGAAGGGAGCGTGGCCCGGCTCCAGGCTGGAGGGGCTCACAACCTGACTCTCCAAGAATATACAGACCCCTGCGAACCTGGACACTGCTTACACCCTTCCTGCCATTTTTTTTGTAATTTTGAAATCATATCACAATTAAAGTTTTTTTCTTCCAGTTTTATCAAGATATAATTGACAACAACACTGTATAAAATACAGCATAATTTCTTAAGTTAAAAATATAACAATAAAAAAACCTAAAGAAGTATAAAGCATCTGAGGGTAACTACGAGGGGGGAGCAGGGAGAAAGGGAGA